ATTCTATGTCAAAAGTTTATTTTTCATGTCAAACATTCGTAAAAATCTATTAAAATCTAACTATAGTTCGTATATTTTTTTTAGGTTGTTTTATTAATGGATTTTCATTTCTAATATTTCTCTAATGATATGCTATTAAATATATTAAATCAAGCGATTTAGTATATTGCTAAGTTTACTAAATAGAATGGTACTATTGTAATGTATTACTGATTTTTCTTATTGGTATGTTGTGATCATTAGCTTATCTTAACTATAAATCATATAACTTACCAATTTGGATAAATAATTGTTAATTGTGCAGATGTGTGATTTTTATTTTATATTTTTAATAATTTTTTTTAATGTATAGATGTATTGATATACAGATCAATAATTATGTTTACGAAACAAAAGGTAAACGCGCCTTTAAGAAATTGATTGATTATTGTTAATTAGAAAAATTCATATATAAATCATTGATAAATTGAACTTTTAAATTTTAGAAAAAAAAATGTGGGTGTGGGTGTGGATGGGTGTGAATGTAGCTAGAAAATAGAATACCCACACCCATACCCACACCCTTTCGTTAATTCTTCTCTATTGAATAATAATCAAGATATATTTCAAAATAGAATTCATCGAATAGAAATAATCGATAAACGAGTTATTAATTAATATAAAAAGCGAATATTCTATAGAAAGAATTCAATGCTTTATCAAAACGACTTATTAAATATATCTCAACATTCAATTGATCTATTCTCGATTAGCCTTTTATAGAAGACATATATATACTCAATTGAGATAAGAGCTATACACATTGAATATCGACATAGCACTAAAATAACATATTCGATCGAAAATAGATAATAAGGTCTTCGTCCCTATGTTTAATAAAGACATTGTTTTTAATAAATGTAATCGTTTAAGAAAAAAATCAATCAATGTCGAAATCTAATTTAGTTATTGTCATATAGGTCTAATATGATATTTATTCTATTATTAACAATATATATTACTAATTAAATAAATAAATATTGAGTTGATTTAAATTATTTTTAAAAATCTATAAGATATTTAATCTAAGACTATTATAAATAAATAAATAAATCTCGTTTGATTATTTCAAAAGAATTTTTCGAAAAAATTTCTATTAAACAAAATTGCCTGATTATCTCCTATATTTACCGTTTCCTCTCAATAAATATCTTTATTATATGAAGTCAATATTAAAATCTAATATAATAAATTATATTATTTGAGTCTTATTTTAAATACCTTCATATATATTCATATAAAATAGGATTTTTTTTTATTTCGAGAATATATTTCTTTCTCTCTCTCCATCGAACATAAAATAGGAAAATGATCAATAGAATATGAAAATCAAATGAGGATATTCATTTTTAAAAATATTCTCATCTTATCTGAGAGATAGATAATATTAAAAAAAGAGATTTTCTTCGAATAAATTAGACCGATTAGATTTTTAACGAGAATTTTTTTCTCGAAAATCCCTATAAACGAATCACTCGATATATTCTAGATAATATTCTAGATGAATAAAAGAAATTTATCGATATAAATATAAGTCAAACGTTGTGTCGATAAGAGAGTGTTCGATTTAGTGAAAAGAATTTTTTTCAAGTTAATAAGTTTACTCTTAGAAAATAAAACGACTTAGAACATTCTTTGAATGAAATCAAATATCTTCTTTTCTTTTTGCCTTGTCTATTCATCTTTATTATCTTCATGGATTTGTTCCTATAGGATAGTTCAAATATAATATAAATATGTTTCCAAAAAAAAACTGACAAGACTCATTCAAATCATGGTCGATTATCGTCATTAACCTTTTTTTTCAACTTTTATACAGATTGAAATTCAAGTAGAAGAACTTTGAAAATATTCTATATAGTTTTTTGTAAATATCTATTATCGTCTCGTTCTTTATTTCTCGAATAATTCCCTTAAATATTTCTCTATAAATATTTAACTTTTATTCATTCGAATGTCTTGTTGAGCTCTTCTATTTTCTCTCATATGATAAATAAATAATAAAAAGAGTCTTAAGTGTTCGATATAATCATATAACACTAGGTTAATCTTAAAATAATATATAATTGTTAAATATTTATATTAAAACAAGGAAAGACTTGAACAATGACTCGATCATCGAATGATATACTCTATAGAAGATAAGGCATGCACCATTTCAATCTCCTACCTATTTATTTTCTCTTTGAAAAATCTTCTCATTGAATTAAAGAAAATCGATTATTGAAAATAGTTTAGAATATAACTGTTTCTATTTGCTTCAACCAAAACCTAAACGATGAAAATAAAAAGTTTTTGTAGAGAAAACTTTCAAGCTAATAATAAGAGTCGAAACCTTTTTAGATGTCCGATTATCTTTAATCAATATATATCATTTATTTAATAACTCTTTTAAAACTAAACAATTGAACATGTTCCGATATAGGATTGTTTCGAAACGATTGAAAATAGATTTATTATTTTATTTGATTCTTTATTATAATAAATTCTAATAATTATATTCAATAAAAGAGTTGCTCATTTGTTTATTCATTATCGATATTGTTTATATAATATGTCAATGATCGTTATCTATTATCGATATCTATTAGAGATAAATCTTAATAGAAGTTAAACGAGAAAAGAATATAAAAGAAGTTTTGTTCAATAATCGACAAGTTTTCCTTGGTGTTTTTTTTCTAAATAAATAAGATTATTAATTAAGTATTTACTTTTCTAAAATAGTCTATATTGATATTTTTTCAATATAATCTATATTAAATATATAATATACGTTTAAATAACGAAATCTTTCGATAAATATTCGAAAAATGCCTCATTAGAAATTTCTAGTAGAATAAATATTTTATTTAATCTATTTTCAAAAGGAGATATTATAATAATAATTAAATAAGTTGGTTATTCTCTCGTGTTCTGGTCTCTTCAATGCTAATCTATTGTTTTATTCATCGATAAACAACGCTTTTCTTCTTGTTTATTTATTAAATGATTAACCATGGTTATGTAACATATTGATAAATATGTTAAATTGTTCAAATCTAATCATCTTACGACAGTCGAACATATTTATAGAATACAAACTTTTCAAAGTATTTGTCAAAGTCCGTTATGACAAGAAAAAAGGTTCGAAAATTGGAAATAAATTATCCGAAATCTAAAGTGAAAGAAAATAAAAAGATGAACTCGTTTAACGAAAGATCTATTCGGCATGTTCGAATATGTCAAAACGTATAATAGCGATAAAAATAAATAAGATTTTTATCGACTGGTCAAATAAGGTCAATATGTTTAGATATTCGATTAATCGGATGATTTATTTTCGAATCAATATTATTTTTTCTTTCAATCGATTATGGTTGATCTTGCTTGGTGAAAGAGAGAGAAAGAGAGAAAAAGAGAAAGAGCATGATCATTTCCATGATAAATTATCTCTAAAACAAATCTAAAGAGTTTGTTATTTTCTCATATAAAATCATTCAATATGAGAAGAACTTATTGAAATTGTTCTCTAAAAGAGAGACAAACGTCCATGAAAAGTGTGAAACGGGTCTTGTCTTGACCGACCGATCGAATGCTGATTGAGTATAGCTCTTTGATAAGGATGTTTGTTTTCTATTGAATTGTTAATCATATGAGAATTTATTAAAGAATTTATTCTTCTGTTTTTTTTTGATTATTCGCTGGTTTTTGTTAGGGCACCGCAAGAAAAGGAAATCTCTTAAAAAGATTTTTTTTTTTTGTTCAATTTCAATATTTAGTTAATAAAATTTTTTTTGTTGTTTGTTGTGATAATGAGAGATGAAGATGGTCAAAGACTAATATAAGATAAAACTAGATAGGTCTATATATAGAGATAAAACATTCCTATTCAAACTGATCCTATTTATTAACTAGATTTATAGTTAACCATTATAGAATCATATATCGGAGAGAAAACTAGAATAATATATTGCACTTATTATCAGACTGTCTAACAAGACCGATTTATCCAACATAATTTCGATTAATCATATGAATGGTTTCAATTTTTTAATGCTTTTTATTTAATCGTGTTTTTGACTAATTTTCCAAAAATCTTTTTGTTGTTTTTGTTTATGGCGAGAGTCGTTATCTTGAAATGTCAAAGCTAGCTGAGATAAATGATAATCCTAGCTGAACAATCAACTTTAAACATGTCGTTGATAGATATAAGATTATTTAATATGATTGTCCTTTGTCTAATTATATCGATAGACAACCTTGGACATTTCTATAATCTCATTTTTTAATCTTGTTTCGAAAGTCAATATTTAAATTGAATATGTTAGACTTAATTCATAGTAAACATCTTCTGTTTATATCTATGAGAAGTTCCTTATCTGGCTCTAGGAGAAGAGCGA